CCGTCGAAATAATTTTTGGGAATTTTTTGAAACTTTTGCAAAATTAATTTCTTTCTCACTTGAGGCAGCAAAGATGACTAAAATTGGTAACCACGAATCAGATTGCGAATAGCTGGGTATTTTCGAAGTGTTGGCGCGCGTACATTTTGAATAAGAGAGATATAATTTTGTGGATATCGGTGAAGATTGGAATCGCTTCTAGTAGCAACTAGGATACTGTGCAGTACTTTTGTGTGAATATCATATATAATAAGATATATAAGCTCCAGTACTTAGATATGGGACATAACATTCGACGATATATAAGATCACGATTCTGTCCGAGTTAACGGATATAATGAAAATCTGTGGTTTGATCCCCCCTTTCCCGCCCCGCCTGATACACTTTCGTTGCAAAATGGGCTGTATTCGCGACATAGTAAATAGGAAGTGGTAGAGTAAGCGATTTAGGATTTGATGGTATGATTACGCTAAGCACTTGTAAGTTGACTTTATAGTTTTCTACAAATTTGTTGAAAATTTACTGTCAAAAATTGTGCTGCCATCATGAAAATGGAACAGGTTTCAAAAAAATGTTTGTGAAAAAATCAAAATCACAAAATCATTTAAAAAATCACAAGTCACAAAATCAAAATCAAAAATCATAAAAATGATTTCATTCATTTTCAAAGGCCGAGAATTTGCCGAGTTTCAAATTTGGGGTTGAGGGGGGGGGGGGCACATAGAAATCAGACCCGAGTAATATTACCAGGAAGTACTTAAATTTCAGGACCGTTGCCAATCTGTGCTGTGCTCGAACACGACGCAACGTGTCATCACGCAAACGGTAGTTAAGCCAACAGAACGCAGCAATTTGGCCCTTCCATGTCTGCCAGCGACCACATTTCTTAAGCAGCAGACTGAAGCAGCGCCAACCAACCTTACCGAGCAGCATCCTCAACTTGCTGCCAAACTTCTGCAGGTCAGTATATTTGCCAGTCGTATTTGAATAATATTTTCGTACAGAAGAAACACCCTCCTTTTCGATTACCCATGCGATCTTAAAATTTTTGCTATAAAATTTAGATTTTATTATTTGGGAGAACATCTAAATGGCACTTCCAGTTTTTCCTTAATTGTCAAAATTCGATTATGTTCCCCCACACAGTGGGCTAACAGCGCCAAACAACTGCGCCTGTTAACACATAGAAGGATCCAGGCTCCCGTCCTCTTCCAATCAATCTCCCAGCCAAAGAGAGATTTATTGTTTGCATCTTTAAAATTTCTAAAAAATTTATAATTGCAGGCCCCGACACCGACACTAATGATGCAGAGACGCCAAGAACTAGGAGATGCTTTACCCGCACCCAGCGCGCCATATCTGGGATTCAGAAAAAGTATTTTTTCCTCGAAGCCACCCCAATTCGACGTCCGTGATGTGCTGTCGGCTGCTGCGCCAAGTTTCTTCATCCAGCAGCCG